TAATTGTTGATTTATCAACAACAGGAAGAAAAATCCAATTGCTGTTAAAATTGGTCTCTATTCTGTAGCTCAACATGTTTGGACTGATCAGACCTTCCTCAGAATGCTACACCCCAAACAAAAACTCAAATATACACAGGCTATTCCTGAAGAAGGCCTAATTCAGTCTAAAGTACTTTGAGTTATGGAATAAAGACCAATCTCAACATCGAATGAATTCTTCTCCTCCTTACTTTTCATGATATTGTTTCCTCCATTTGGGTGATATTAATTTTACAGAGTACAGGTAGTCCTCGGGTTACGACCACTTGTTCAGCGACTGTTGAAAGTTACGAAAGTGCTGAATAAGTGGCACTTATGACCGGTCCTTGAAGTTCTGGCTGTTGCAGCACTCCCAGAGTCACATAATCACAATTCAGGCTTTTGGCAACTGGCTTGCACTTATGAAGGTTGCAGCATCCTGTGGTCACACGACTGCCATTTGCAACCTTCCCTGCTGGCTTCTCACAAGCAAAGTCAATAGGGAAGCTGGCAGAGAAAGTCACAAGTCACTCCCATAAGTCACTTCTGATGCTTTTTCTCCCAGGGAGCCCCTCTATGAAGTATGAGATCCCAGGGATCTCACACCCTGTACCACCCCCCTGCCTGCCTGCACTCCATAGCGCATGCCCCTGTCAGCTCCTGTGCTCTGCAGTGCTTGCCCACAGCCCCCACTGGCCCACCCGTGTTCTGTAGCATCCATCCATGGCCCCCGCTGACCCACCCACACTCTATAGTGACCACCCACAGCCACCACTGGCCCACCTGAACTCCGTAGTGCCTGCCTGTGGCACCCTCACCCCTTCACAGTATCTGCCTGCGCTCCTTGCCTGGGACTCCTACTTCCTGCTTAATGACCTGCACAGTCCTGGAGTTATGATGGCAGCCTTGACTGCTGGGATTGCTGCTGCTAAGCAATGTGGTCATGTGACATCACACTTTACGACTGCATCACTTAGCGATGGAAATTCTGGTCCCAATTGCCACTGTAACCTGAAGACTACCTATAGCTTGTATCCTAATAGCATCTACTTTCAAATATGCACAGCTCATTTTAGCACTCATTTCTTTTTATTTTTGTCTGACTTTTATTACATATTATGCTTACTAAGTTATTAAAAATACAGCAAAATAATTATAGGAGAATTGTGTGCTTTCAAGACAATGGTAACAGTGATAACTGCACATAATTCTAGCAAAAGGCTCAGACAGAAAGAGGGGTTGTAATTCTACAAACTCCTCTCCCTTCAATCCCAACTTTATTCTCTCTTTTCTGCTAGTACTTGCATATAAATTGTAGCTTCACCTAATGCTGTATTTCCTTGCCAATATTGCTTTACTCACATTTCAGGCAGTTGTCATGCCAACAATTAATTCCAACTTGCAATCCTGAATTGTCTTGCAATAAACATTGTTTAAAAGTGCAAAATCCTATTGATCCTCGCCAGAGATACAATTTTAAATAACAGGGAGGGCCAGGACTATAATTCCAGCAATAAAAGAACAGCAGGTACAATATAACAGCAGTCCTTTTTTTTTTTTAAATAAATCATAATCTTTTTCAGCTAATGCCAACAGCTAGAGAAGAATCAGAACAATACTGGAACAATGTTTTCCCTGTCCCAATCCTTTAGCTATGACAGTGTTAGGCTAGCACTATGAACCAGTTTTAGTGGCATCACTATCACAAAGTTTTTGCTGATGTAGCCTATCATTTGTGTTCAATACTTCCTTGTTTATGCAACATTATATGTTTTTGAGTGTGGATTTGTTATGTTTGTAGTAAATACCTCTACCTAGATCTGCACTTTGGAGGAAAACTCCTTTTTAAATCTCCTCTGAAAGCTTTCTTCCTTGAATATCCTCCCGTGAACTTTTACATCCCTTTAAAATAAAGATCAATCACTTTTATCCACTGTGTGCATGTCATGCAGGAGCCAGTTTTAAATCCTGAGAGTATATCAATACACTCAATAGACCTTGCAGTTGGTGGGATGTGGGCGACAAATATATTGGCTCACAAGGTAGTCTCCAGATGAGAGATCCTCACTTGCATAAAATAGCGTAATCATCCTGGTTGGGGTAAACTGGGGTAAACTGGGCTTTTGTTCTGCTTATGGCACATTGGTCAAAATGTACCAAAACAAGTACTGTCCTTATTGTTAGCAGGGAATGCTACAAGGAGCATAACTGCAACTGAGGCCAGTAACCTAGCCTATATCTTCTTTCTCAAGCATTCTGTGAAAGCCTTATTAACCAAACCCATGATGGGCAGTGGGTCTCAGTATCTATGGACTTACCTGGTTTTGATCATGACATATGGAAAGCTGCCAAGACTTTAGTTTGTCTGTAATGTCAGACTAAAGACTATGAATTAACAAATGAAAGAAAAGGAAGAAAAATACGTATGTCACATGTCTGTGAAACTAACAGAAAGGGGAGGAATGTCACAGATCTGAATTCAGGTAGCCTGATCTTGTGGAATTGAGTTGCTGAATACATGCAGGGAAGTGAAGCAATAGGTTTAATTATGAATGAAATGATTAAAAAACCACATCTAGGTTGCTGTGGATGCGTATGAAAGTAGGAATATATAGGTCTGTGATAGTTGCATGTTATTGTCTTGTGAATGAAGATAATGGAAGAGCTATGGGTGAATTTGGGGGGGATCTGTGCAACATTCTGCATGAATACAACCCAGGAGAAAAGTACATTCTATAAGGTGATATGAACAGATGGATGGGAATGAGATGAGACCCAGGAATGAATGACAATGGTGAATTTTTGGTGAGCATCTGCTTAGAAAACATTATCTTTGTTTCCAATACATGATTTAAGCATAAGCCTATTCATACATATGTACAGATGGAAAAAGAATGAAGCAAAAACCAAGACTGATCTAACTGTTTACAACAAAACTGTGAAAACGAATGAAGGATACAAGAGTAATAAGAGGTTCTGAATGTGGAACAAACCATTATTTAGTAATATCAAGAGTGAATTTTTTGGGGAAAAAAAGGATGAAAGAAGTGAAAGATACCAAATAAAAGTAGAATGACTTCTGGAAGACAGATTCACATCCCATGCCAAAACATATCTACAAGTTCTATATGAGAAACATAAATTAATATTCTAACAGAAAGAATAGAAAGTATGGATGTAAACACTGGATATAGAAGGTACTTAGAATACGGTGAAAAAAATTATGCTACATAGTGCCACAGGAGTGGAGCTATGCTAATGGGAAGTATCTGGGTATTTGGGTTGCATGTGAATGAGGGGAGAAAGGGAGGAGTAATGACTGGTCAAATTAAATGCATCTGAATATAAAGAAATATTGTACAATTTAACATTAGTTGCTTATGGTAGCTTATTGACTTACTCTTTGTGCCAATCATAGATCTGGTGAATGTTTCCAAATACAATCTTGTCTTTCCCTTTCATATCTTCAGGAACACCTTTTTCTTCTATTCTTTTCATGAATCCCTTGACAAAGAAAAAAAATCAGTGACTAAGCAATGGCAGACTAGACTATAACCAGTAATAATATTCACTTCTCAACCAAACAAGAATCAACTACACATTGTAATAGCAGATCTTTTTATCCAAGAGATCAAGAGTCTGTTTTAGTTCCAGTTCCTGTATTAATATTTTAGAGATACACATTACATTTAGATGAGCCTTAAGGACTTGTTGTATTACAAATCAATTAGGCTTTTAAGAATACTTAAAATGGCTTGCAAAAAGTCAATATTAAGACAGTATTAATCAGACTGTGATTTAAAAATTCCTGATATTAGCCTTTTACCAAAAAAACCAGTTTATATCTAATTTATTTTAACTCACCTCCACCACAGTTCCTAAGTCTTTGACATAGTCTTTCTCTGTTTGTACCAGTTCATTTAGAACAAACCTAGAATTCAAAAGAGTATATAGGTTTCATGAAGGCCTCTAGTCCAAGCACTGACCAAAACTAAATCTAAATTTAAATAGTGTAGGTAAGGTAATAGAAGCTGACTTAAGGCCTACCAGAATAATCCTCATCTTCTACTAACCATCTTTTTCATTATGTAAAAATAACAATAACAGAAGAACTAGATTTAGATCACTCTCCTTGTCTTCAGCACAAGTGACTCCCTGTGAATCTCTAAGTTTTCAGCGTGATTTTGACTGAATCAAAGCAAGATCAAAGGGTAGAAGGGACATGCTGGCTAATATCTACAGCCTCCTTGTTTTACCTGATTCTGGTATTACCACTCTTATAAATGTGTACTGTATTCTACATCAGAAGTATACATTTTAGGCTCCATTCAATTTCATGCAAATAGTTTTCCCTGCAGAATAAAATTTGCCCTCCTCCCTACTTAACAACCATTATGGATATATCAAATCTGCTCTTGATAACATGGATTGTGGCTGAAGGGAGTTTGTTCTGACAGACATTTCTAAACTACTAGTGGTAGAAGGCATCAGATACAGTTACAAAAGAGATCAACAACAAACTTACATCCTGCCTCTCATAGCTTTGGCTTTTTGTTCCTCTTCAAGGTTTCTTGAAGGAGGAGTTGAAGGTGTCACACTTTCATTCAAGCATCCAGTACTATCTTTTAAGCTTCCTCGGTATGAGCCTCCTTCTAATGTCTTAAGAAATACAGGAGAGAGAAAAAAAAAGACAAAAAATTAAACTAAAAATTATAACCACTAACTAGACAATACATTTATCTTTTTTTCTCTGGTATTCTAGATTTATAATAATCATGAAGAAAATATTTCCAATTTGCTTTTATTTAGGGGATGGGTGGGGAATTAACAAAGAATCAGTAATTCATTTTGCTTCTTAGAACATCTCATTTATTCCAGAAACTTCCTGTTTTTTCTTAGAATATTCCAGATTGGCCCTAAACAGAATAGAAGCCAAAAGTTGCAATAAAAATGTTCCAAGAATTTTATTTTGAAAAAAAAAAGTTTTTTTAATGGTTTTTATTGCTTTTAATGTTTTTTTATAATTTTTGCTGTGCTGTGTTTGGTTATTTTATTGTATTGTTTTTGTGTTTTTTAGCTTTATATGCCATCTAGTCATGTATGTGGGATGGGCGGCTATATAAATTTACCAAATAAAATAAAATAAAATACACTGACCAAAAAACTCATCTCAGTAAGCTTTAATCTTGGAAAACAAATAGACATAGGGTTATATTCCTTTTTTTCTCTGCTACATGTTTCTGTTCTTATCAATGGATTGTTTTGCAGCAATCGCCACTAGCAATTATCAAGATCAGAACTTGGTGATCTAACACAAAACAGAACCCAATTTGCAGATAGAAGCAGATTACCCCCCAGTCCCCAGATATATTTCAGGGATATATAGCTGGCTATTTTACTTTAGACAAGATGCACAAATTTAAATTGTTATAGTAAAATAAGGGTTGGATTAATGAAGGGGATTTTTCAATAACTAGTATTGCTGATCTGAAACACCAGCAGCATGTCACACCTTTTTAAAAAAGATAAATATACTCTATCGTTCAAGATCAGTTTTTCATTCTGGTGAATTTCATTTTACACATAAAAAGATTGTATTATTTCCCAGATATTTTTCACAACATCACATTCACCATATCTGCTTAACATTTAATCTACCCTAAAGCATTCAACACCATTTACATCATACTTCTTTCATTTGAAACAGCTATCAATCTGCTTAATACTATGAGAGAACAGTTTCTAGCACAACAGAAGTGATGCCTGAATAGCAATTCTTCTAACTAAATGGATAATTTTTTTTCAAGGTCAGAAGCCTGTTTGCAAGCAGAGTTTAAACTACTGTTTCCCAGTGCAGACAATCACAGAAAATTGGATTAACAAGTCAGAATGTCAAGCAGAAATCTAGATACACAAAAATTTCTGAGATAAAACCATGGGCACAAAGCTGATTTTCAAAGGAATTAAACTAAAACAAATTGTTGTATTACAGCCAGCCTGAATACTGAGCTGCTGCCATTTTACTTTCAGCCAGCTGAGTATTTACAACGTTTAATTATTAAAACATGTCACTTAATGCTGTTCAGTCTTGAGCATAGTCCTTGCAGCTCTTTCATTGGGTTCAACAAAGCTTGTTCCTAAACGTTCTTGCATAGGCCTTGTCCAAGATTATTGTTCTTGTTCATATTCCTCATTGCATTGTACACTCTTAATTTATGAGTAAACTGAAGTTCTTTTAACCAAGGTGGAACATTAAACTGAACATATGGCCTCATGAATAATACACCAAACATCCTTGAATCAAAGTTTCCAAAACTCTCTATTAAGGCAAAAAAGCTGACTATCATACATGAAGCAATAAGCATCACTTATAGCAAACACTTAAAACAACTAACACATTCTGAAAAAATTTTCATGGCAGCATTTCTATACTTTTTATATCAGTTTGTATTGGCATTTTTCCACTAATGTCACAAAAGTTGTTGTGACAGAAAAACTGCAGTCATTATCTTATCAAATAATGCATACAACGTATGAATCAGCGTTGATCAATAGACGTATTTTACAAACATGTTTTTTACAGGCAGTCCTCAACTTACGACCACAATTGGGACCTCAATATATAGGCAGTCCTCAACTTACAACCACAATTGGGACTGGAATGTCCTTCACTAAGCAATGCAGCCATTAAGTGAGCCGTGCCCGATCTTACAATTTTTTTTTTTTACTGTGGTTAAGCGAATCACCATGGTTGTTAAGCAAATTGGGCTTCCCCCATTGACTGTACTTGTTGGAAGCTCCCTGGGAAGGTCGCAAATGGTGATCATGTGACCCTGGGATGCTGCAACCATCACAAATACATGCCAGCTGCCAAGCACCCAAATTTTGATCATGTGACCATGGAGACACTGCAACAGTTATAAGTGTGAGGACCAGTCATATGTCACTTTTTCAGCAATGTCATGACTTCAATGTCATGACTTCAAACAGTCATTAAATGAATGATCATAAATCGAGGACTACCTGTATAATTAAAAGGACTACAGAACACCCTAAGATTTGGTTAGATACTCAGCATGTGTGCAGAACAAAATAGATGAGAAAAGCAGGATCATCTGGCAGAGGAAGTAATTATTGACTTTCTGTGTAGCCAAACTATAATGTTTTTCTTCAGTGAATCCCAGGACTCTACACTTACCAGCTTGCTTTTGACCAATTTTTCTATTGCACTGACAAGATCCGCAGCAGTTGGAACATCAGAGCTGGTCTGTCGAGAAGCTAGCAAAGAGGAAGACTGCAAGACACCAGTTTGCAAAGGAACAGTAGGTTAGCAGGAATGAGAAGAGGAAAGCCAACAGGTTAGCAGTTTGAGGTCATACATTGGGTTAAAAGCAGGAAAAACATGGCAGGAGCATGAAGAGTTTATGGGCGGGAGACCATGACATATACAAGGCACAGGACTCAACAACAGATTGGCAAACCCCCAAAAATAGTTCTGCAGCTGTAATTAGAATTTATGCCCATGGTGGTTTGAAGTTTTTTTCTAAAAAACACAAAATGTAGTCACACAAAAATGCCATAGAGAACAGTGTTGTTTTTTTGTTTTTTGGCTTACATATTTCAAGATATCAACAGTCTTGTGTTCTTCTGAATCAGCAGATGCTAGATATATAAAATATTTGGGGGGCGGGGGGAGAAAGGCTTTGCATTCCTGTCAGCCTACAGAACAGTAAGAAGTACATGTATCTCTGTTCTTACTATGCTAATTTCTATAGCTTACATAGCACAAGAAAAAAGTTGGATCAAGCTAATTGTACAGCTAGCCCAGTATTCTATCTGCAAAAACCATTCTGTACTGTACACAACTGCTGAATTCTGCTAGATGTTCAATATATGATTTAAGATTAAAACAAAAAGGCACTTAGACTGTCACTTCTTTCCACTGACATCTTTGAAAACATGAGTGGGAAAGACAGATAAGAATATCAGTTGCTAGCATCTTTATTCTATTAGAACTGTCAAACAAGAATCTATGAGAGAAAACAAAATAGCTTCAGTTCATGTTACAATTTTTGTGGGTGACACTTCACAGAGCATTAGACATTTTTAAAATATGTCCAGAACTTCCCCCACCCTGGCCCATTTTCTACCTTAGAAAAGTACCATTTGAAGCAGTTACTCTCCAATTCATATATTCTGTTTACCTATTTACCCTACTAGTTTCAGAGTAGTAAAATAGATGGTTGTTGAATGTGTAAATATCTACTTAGATTCTAAAGGCTAGATCCTGGGACTTGGCTGTTTTAAAGCCAGGTAGTGAATATTTCTGGAGCAAATGGAAGAACAACTGGGCCTTATACAATCTATTGATCTTCCTTTCTTGCACACACATTCACATATATAAATTTTGGGATATCAGACTCACAAGTTCTTCCACATAACTAGTTCTCAGATGAAGTATATGGCAACATGAGTTTCTGATCCACTCCTCCTCCTCTGAGGGTACCACTAACAAAGAGGCAAATGCAGAGGGCTAGCTTGATTCTGGCTCCTAAAATACTCCAATCGATTACTGCCTCCCTTCAAAAAATATCTTTTTCTACATGTTCCAATTCTTCTATGCAAGAAGAAACTGAACATAGTCAGAAAAATGTATAACCAGTCTGAGACTTGTGTAATACTTAGATGTGGGTCACATATGCTCTTGAGGGGTAGATGACTTTTTATAAATTAATCTTTATATAACTTAATGATCCCCACAGGTGTAGATTTCTCTGAAGGAAGAGTAAAGTAATCAAACTCTAAAAAAAACTGTAGTGAAATTAATAAGTGTGGTTGAATTGGGCCCAAGTAGTGACAGGCAAATAACTCTCTCAATAAAATGGGCTGTTGTATAAGCATTAGGCAGCAGTGCCAGGTAAAGGTTTGTTAAGAACAGCTGCTGAGTGATGCATCATTCTTGTTGCTTTATTCCCTACAAATATTGTACACTAGACATTTTGTATATCTTCTCTCACTGATTCTAAGTGACTGATAGGCTACCAGCAAGCCATATTAAAGCAATACCAAGTTATGAGAAAGATTACTTTAACGTGGAATGCAGAAGAATTAACTCTTACTAATAATTAATAGAGCTGTGCAAGCTTCAAAAATTATTCAGAAATAGTATTTCAGATCATGTGAAAGCACAGTACTTCTCTGTTGTTCATTAGAGAAGCCCATCTTTTTTCAGATTTCTGTGTGAACAAGATTTACAGGATCCAACAGACTTGTTCCAAATAATTTTCAAAGTGAACACAGCACAAATTAATATACATTTAAGGAAAGTAGAACTGCTAGCAATCTCTTCTCCCTTTGGAAAGTAAGAACTTGTAATTTATTTTAATTTTTTGGCTGTGTACAGACAGCAGTGCAGAGTCACAGTTTGTTTTCATTGCAGTTCATTCAATAAGCATTATGGCTGGATTCAGATACTACACTAAGCAATAAACCACGGCATACAAACTACAATGGCTGAGTGAACACAACAAACCACATTATGACTTTACATGATACATGAACTCACACATGTAATCCTTCCAAGTAAAGTAAAATCCACAACATTAACTATTCTTCAGTCTTCTGATCAAAAAGATAGCCAATATTGCTCTATTGGCCATTTTTTCCCTGACGTTATCAACGTGTCTAGGTTATAAATGAAGAGCTCCAATGTTCAGCAATCCATGAAAATATCAATTTCAAACTTTAAAGTCTTTGTAGTGTTCAATACCACCAAAGTATTTTGGTTTTGGTTGCAATCAAAAGAGCTGTAGGAAGCTGAAATCTATATTGGAAGGTTGTATCAAAGAGCAAGGGACAGTTGCATCATTTTCTGTAGGACATTCTACCAAAATTTGCTTCTCCAAAAGCTTATTGTTCCAAATAATGACATGGTTATTACTTATTATCTTCCCCAACTAAGAAGCAGATTGTGGGGGTACAGGATACGAAACCAACCTTCAGAAGAAAAAGTACATAGTCCTTCTACTGTTTCTTGGAAATCTTTGGTGGATTTGAGTGAATAACTTACTTAGCACTTTTGGATTTGTTAGAAAAGCTACTGAAGAATTGCTATCTTACTTCCCAAAATGCAAGATGTCTTATGAAGTACTGGATAAAGAACAACTAAAAATGTTTTATAGGAAAAACAGACAATTTTGACTTATAAATAAACAAAAAAAGATGATCAAGAGAAGAATAAGGCAGACTTTAGGTGGTTGACGGTCAATTCTAGATAACTGAGGTCAAAAAATTTATGGAGTAGAAGATTTGAATAATATATAAAGGGAGAATGGTGGAATCAAATTCTTACATTATGCATGGCTTCAAACAGGTTGGAGATGATGGGAGCTTTTGTTCAAGATCACCTGAGGATCAACTGCTATATAATAATGGTGATCCAAAGAGGTTCCCAAAAATTTTAAGAAATCTCAGTGACAAGATCAATAGTAGAAAATATGTTTTCCTGAAACAATACTTTGCCTTGGGTTTTTTTGATGTAGCAGGGAAATATTTCGGTATGTTTTTAAAATTACTCTCAGTTTAAGGAAGGAGATGGTAATAAAACAATGCCCAAAGGGAAACTGAAGATTTTCACTACAGTGCAATTCAGAAGTGCTTACAATGTCCAGAATGTTCTTGGTGGACAACTGAATTTTAATGCAAATTGCTAAGAGGTCTGACTGCTAAGAAGTCTGAAAGTCCCAAGAAAATATATGAAGCATTATTTCATACCTATAAAAAGTATGAATTTAAAAAAATCAAGCTACAAATGTAAGCAGGTTAAATTATAAAGATTTTAAGTGGGAAATGGACATTAATAAACAAGTATATAACCAAGATTTTGAAGGTAGATAATTTAGTTCAATTTTTTCTAGCAAAACATAAACAAGTATAGGCATACCTCATTTTATAGCACTTTGCTTTATTGTGTTTCGCAGATAACTGCGCTTTTTTTTATAAATTGAAAGTTTGTGGCAACCCTGCGTCAATCAAGTCTATCAGGTGATGATTAGCCATTTTTTTTAGCAATAAAGTATTTTTTTAATTAAGATATATACTTTTTTTTTTTAGACATGCTATTGCACACCTAATAAACTACAGTATAGTGTAAACATAACTTTTATATGCATTGGGAAACCAAAAAACCGATGTGACTCGCTTTATTGCAATATTTGCTTTATTGTCGTTGTCTGGAACTGAACCTGCAGTATCTCCAAAGTATGCCTATATAATGAAACCATATATATCCATATATGTTTTAGATTCTAATGGAGTGGTTTTTCCCCCCTTTCTTTTTAATGAAGTTATTCCAAGGAGAAATGTAGTTAGAGCCTTACCATCTCATCTTGTGTAGGATCATTATCAAAAATCTTCATTGGCGGAGGAAGTGGTGTATGAGATTCTTCATCTGGCTCATCTTCTCCCCAACCTTTCTTGCTCTTCTGAAAGCAAGAGAATCATGTTTACAAAGACATGAACAAGTTAAATGACAAAACCTGTCCAAAATCTGACCAAGGACAGGAAAAGCACAGTAAACGAAGTCAGTTGTACATTTCAGTATATTAAAATCAACTTGAATTCAGTATATAAAAATCAAATAAATGAATAAATTCTGCTGCTCCCTGACAAAGGGAGTGATGCAGCCAGGTGACACCTCCTACAGTGTTCTTGAGGATTGGGAAACCCTCCAGAATACTGTGAGACATGGTGGTCATCAGGGATATCAGAAAAAAAAAAAATCACTGTTCTGCCATGTTCCTCCTGTAAGAATCTTCTATTTGCAGACGAGTAAGCCTGGATCCACCCCATAATATGGAGCCACAATTTAATAAGTAAACAGTATATGGGAGCATGAGTGAATATATTTCACACATATTATTACATCTATTATATAAGGGCAACTTTACTCATTGCTTCACTCAAGTAATATTCACTGCCACAAAAGGGTGATTCACCTAGTTAAAATAACAGTTCCTGTCATCAGCTTTCAATCTCATCATTGAACTGGGATCTTTTCCCCACATGCCCAGTGATATGCTTAAGACAGGAAGAAAACACATCACTTTGAAAACCACTACCCACACAGTATTCCTGCCACACCTATAAAACAGGGCCAACCTCACATGAGGGTGGGACTGTGGCTGCTGAAGACTGCTTTGGAGTGGTGTGGACAGAACAGCAGGTGCAGGGAAGCTGATGCTTCTCCTTTATAGCAAGGCTCCACACCTCCTGGAGAGGAGAAAAACAACACTGTAGAAGTTACCAGTAGAAACAACAACCTTGTGAAACACCTTCCAGGAAGTTATTATTCCTACTTCAGCCTAATAAGAAAAAAGAAAAGAAAAAATGTTGGCTGCTGGGGAGGTTCTGTACTTTCCAGCTGCTAAAGCAGAAGTGGGAATGGAGCTGTAGACCCCCATGACTGCATGCAGCAGTCCAGCTGAAGTACTGTACTGCAGGTCACCAAACTCCTTGAGACTTCTGCATATAGACCAGAACATTCACATAGAATTTTTTTTCCATTTTCTGAATGAAAATACCACTTCCTTATTGGATCACTTTCTTGTGTCAATCATGACAAGCTGTGGAGAACCCTAGAAGACTTAGGGGTGCCTACACATCTGGCCAAGTTGGTGTAGTCACTGTACACAAATCAGGAAGCCACTGTGTGAACTGTGACATGGAGACACTGATTGGTTCAAGAGAAAGGAGTATGGCAAGGTTGCATTCTTTCACCTTTCTTATTCAACCTGTATGCCAAAGTGATCATGAGGAAGCTGGAATTTGAAGTATCAAAAACAGGAGTAAAGATTGGAGGAAGAAACATCAACAATCTTCAATATGTTGATGACACAACTCTCCTCTCAGAAACCAAAAAAGGCTTGAAACACCTGATCAAAAGGATTAAAGAAAAAAACAAGGAATTTGGCCTCTTCCTGAACATCAAAAAAAAAAAAGCTGGTGGCCACCATGAGGAATGGAAATGTCAAAATAACTATTGACGGTGCAGAGATCAAATGTGTTCAAGAATTCACTTTCCTAGGATTGTAGATTGACCAAAGCAGTGAATGCAGTCCAGAAATAGTGTCAAATTGCACTGGGTTGCACAGCAATGATGAGCATGAAGTGAGTATGGAAAAGCAAGGACATCAGCCTGGCAACTAAATGCAGATTAGTCCACGCTGTTGTGTTTCCCATAGCTACCTAAGGTTGCGAAAGTTGGACCATGAAAAAACTTGACAAGAAGAAAATCGACTCATTCGAGGTGTGTTGTTGGAAAAGGCTCCTGTGCTTTCCTTGATCAACAAAGGTGACAAACAAGTAAGTACTGGAGCATATAAAACCAGACTGGAGGGCAAAATCATGAAATTCCACCTTACTTATTTTGGTCGTGTCATGTGATCAAACTCACTGGAAAAGGCAGTTATGCTTGGAATGGTCAGCGGTAAAAGGAAACGAAGCCACCAAAACACATGGTGGTTAGACACCATCAAAGCCAACACCAGCCAGAGCATAAAATAAATAAAAGAAGCCATACAAGATCAGAAAACGTGGAGAGAGTTGGTCTGCAGAATCGCTGAAAATCGGACATGATTGAATGAATAGCATCATCATCATCATCGGATCACTTGCTTCAGCCCACCTCAGTGGGCTGGTACTGAGATGAAGACTATGGATTGTAGGTAATCTTGGCACTGGGACAAAAAGGATGTGGGGTGTAGTCTAGATTAGACTGTTAGGCATGATTATTAATCAGCTACTGAAAAACAGGATAGCAGAAACGAAAACATTATGTTCAAGTTAGTATTCTTGAAAAATAATGGCAAAGTGTACTTGTACCTCATCGGCACTGTCTCCCTGAGGGGTGGTTTCATCTCCAGGCTTGGGGGAACCTAAATCAAAGCTCTTCCTTCCTTCACGTACTTTCTTCTGTTTTTTGATGTTGCTGTCAGCCTTCCCGCTGTTCAGTCGACGTACAGGGCTTGTTAGCCATTTTTTCAGGGTGTTGGTTGAACGCTTTGGACCAGGGGAGCTCTGGATGGAATTAAGGGACGAGTGAGGCTGTAAATTGGCCACAGAATCAGATTTTGCTCCATTTTCATTGGAGGAGGTGGAATAGGTATCTGCCAGAACAAGAGAATAAGGATGCTAAGCAACAGTCTGTTTTAGGCTTAATAATTCTTTCTGAAAATAGTGCCTGCAATTTGTTGACAAGGGTTAAAATTAGAAGAGTACGTGCTACACCAGATCTGCATTCAATGTACTCAGTTCATTTCTCATTTTATAGATGACTCCCCCCCCCCACGCTTTTCTGTTTTCTACTTGTAGAACACTCTCAATCTTTTTTTTTTTATTGTCTGATATACTTGGCATTAATACATTCAGAAAATAAGTTTTCAACAAGGGAACTATGGAGACTTCTTAAGTTCACAGTGTAAGTACTTTTCCTGCTGAAAGAAAGAACAGCTTGTGTCTACTTGTATCTTTGCTATAGGAAGTTTGGTTTTTCTGCAAAAACAGTAGAAGTCACCTAGAGCTGATCAAATGTAAGAATAACTGATTCTAGTTATTTTCCTACCACTGTTATTTTCATCCTGTTTATGCACGCAAAGCAGCATTAAACTAGACAAAAGATAAGCAACGGCTGAAAATGGTTCCACTATGTTATCTAAGCCACATGACTTAGAAGCAGAAGGTAGAAATAGAAAAATCCAAATTATTATCAGAGTCAACAAATTCTAAGATTGCTTATTTATCACTCTGAAGATAATTTTATCTGTTTTATTCTTTCCCCTCCTCCAATTTTACAGAAAGCCCTTTAATCCATTGTATGTTCACCAGGATTTCTCCCTGGAAGAAGTGTTATACTTTGGGAAAATCTCAACTATGTTTTGCCATGCCATTTGGATCAACTGGTTAAAATGAGCAGTCACTGTTTTGGAGTTTACTAAAACACCAAAATAAATGCCAGCCTCTGAATGCCTGGCAAGCTGCTGAATTGGCATCTCTGCACAATAGAGCTTTGTTCATCAGTATAGGAGGCCTACTGTAAATCAAGCTAGACTTGCAAGTTGGAGAAAAGTTTTTATTTGTCTCAATCTCCAGTTCTAGCGAGAAAAAACTAGGATCCCATCATTCTACTCAGTATAATTTCATGACCTTATGCTTCTGAACAAAACTATTGCCCACTACAGTTCCATAGCAAGCTATGCATTTAGCAACATATTATTGGATGGACAATGCACTTATCAAATTATCAACCTGGCCTTCTGAAAATATGACTGAAAGACAAATTCTTATTATTCACAATCACTTATCATTTCTAGTTTATGAAGTTTTTAAGGAACTAATCAATAGTTCCTTAAACCTTTTAAAGGTTGAATTTACAGACACTTTCTCATCCCAATTTTCTTTTAGTACATAAAACATGTGAGGTATACTTTGGGCATGCTTACTTGTCTAACATAACCTTCAACACAGCAAAAAGAAATATGAGGAAAAGTGGAGAGGGCTGTGGTTTCAATGCCCGCAACTAATTTTATTATCCATATGATTTCTAGAAACGTATACCATTTGTAAAACCTTTGAAACTGGTTGAGTTAAAAAATGCAATTTATGCAATGTTCTTGAAAAACTTGAAAAGAAGTTGCCTCGCTTAGTAGCTGCACACAATATATGATGAACAAGATTAGCTAATTTGCACTGAGGGTTTTTTTTCCTGTTTTCACTTCTCCAAATGAAAGTACAAGAGGAGGTCATATAAAATGAGCCAACTTCTTTCAGAAATGTTAAAAAGCCCAAAGACTTTTTAAGTCTTAAGCCTGCTCCTGTTTTTGCAGCCAAAAATAAGAATAAACTTAAATGAAACTCGCATGCCGTAAAAATACTGGTTGCGACTTAAATAGCAGCAGCATTATATCCCAGTGCTCTTTAAGCACACTGAATTTCCATTTGAGCACAGACTTCCTCTCAAACAGGCAAATCAGAAGCACATTTCACTGAGTGAAAAAGAACTGTATTTGTTATGTTAGGGAATTCAGAAGAGTCCTCAAAATAGAGAAATCCAGTGTCTACGTTAGGGTATACACAGTTCAATGTGGAGGTTAAATATAAATATTTCTTGCTTTGTGCATGTCACACTAAGACCAAGATGATGAATTTTTGCAATAGTCAGTAAGTTTTTAGAAAATATAGTAACTACATTGGAAATGGTCACCTCTCAACTACCTGTCTTAAATACAAGAACATCTATTTAGGTAATCCTATAGCTTTGTTCTGGTGAATCTACATAGTGACTTTTCAAAAATATATGACAAAAGAGCAACCGTAAGAAGAAAAAAATATATAGGGGAACAGCTAGTGCATGAGAATATCATAGTGTCAAAATGCCTTTTACATTGTGAAAGGTGTGTGTGTTTGTTCACAACACGGACAAGAGTCATACTGAAGGTTTATATCCTGCAGAAAGTCCAAATAAGACATTACTGAAAATTCCAGATGAGTTTTGAGAATCCTCTTCTATTTCTTCAGCATACAAAACTGTTAAGAACCTTTTAGTAATTGTTGGTTATGCTGATATTCTGATGTTCCAATCTTCATATTTTCAATGTTCACTTGAAAACCAAATCAACCATGTACATGCACGAATCAGTAAAAGTACCCAAAATGACATTGGTGAAAGACAGTTTAATACTATTAGAGCTTTTCTTATATAATCAATTGTTAAAACACTTTAGAATGGCTACATTACAGAATCCTTAAAAGACTTTGATTAAGCATATGTCCATTGTGAACATTTCAACAAGCTCTGGTTCACACTGGAAGCATCTAAAATGACAAGATCAAGCAGAGTTAGGCATTTTCTGCACATTCAAAGCTCTGGCCATTTCTATTAACCTTGGAGATTTGGGTTTAAAAAAAAAAAAAATCTAAGCAAATATTTCATTTCCAGTGAGATTCATGCGAGATGCCGATTTTAAATGGGAACACCAGATCACTTCTTCCCGAGGTACACACAGATCTTTCTTGGCTCTTCTTGCTGCTGTGCAGAAGGAAGGAACCCACCAAGGGCAGAGGAGATGAACCAGAGCACTCCTGATCTGATTAAGGTGAGAATGTCAAGAACAGGCAAACAGATGAACATCTGAATATGTTACATACAACAATAAATGCTTAATGGCAGTTCAAAGTTTAAAAGCAGACTGATTCCAAACTTAAACTTCAGGTAGGAATGTATACTTCCATTAAAGTTTGATTAGACGTCTGACAATTTTAGTCTCGCTCATTGCTAAACGGTATTTGTGGAACACCTAGAGTCTAAGGTTAGATTTCTTTTTGAAAACAGTCAATTAGACTGAGCCTTAACATTGAAATGCTCTTAACAACAGGGCCGTAATACAGTTCCTAATTCCAAAGGGACTTAAAAAGTTTCAAAGAGTCTCTGCCATTCAAAACAGGATGGGAATCTTTTTCCAAGCCAGAATTAAAACAAATGAACCCAAACGCAATTCTTACCAATAAAAATAAATATTAAGCTTCTCACCCAGAAAACTATAATGCAGTAGTTCTGCTACTTTTAAATATACAAGAGGCAGGCTCCAATGAACACTCAGCATTCAAAAAATAAAAATAAAAGCCAACTTCCCCATGCAGAAGCAACTCTCAATTCAGCATATGCCTCCCAAAATACAGAAAATCTGATAGGAATAAAAAGAAAAAGAGCTCCCATCCTTAATTCTCTAACTCACTTACTGAGGCTCAGTTATGCCCAAGTGGAGATTCCAGCTGTCTTGGTGGGAGGGGGTCATTCTGTGGCTATGCTAGAGCTTTATGGCTTAACAAAGAGTTCTAACACAGTTCTGGAAAGTATGAAAAGGAATGGAAAAAGCCCAAAGTGCTGTAAAACAACACAGCATGGGTAAAAGACATAGATGGCACATCTGCCACTAACAAACAGCAGCAAAATTACAGATGAGCGGACCAAGGCAACAAGTACAGCAGCAGAAAGGAATGCAAAGTTCTGTGTTGCTTCTTGGCCTGAATTGGGGTTCCAATTCTGTAACATCACTCGCCAATTTGTTGACCAATGACTTTTTGAAGATAAATTCATTTATAATTAGACATGTTTCAGGCATCATGGTTACCCATAGTCTGTTGAATAAAACATTGGCCGGGATCATGCTAACCCATAAAGAAGCAAATCACATTTTGCCTCAGCAGAATGTGTGATTATAGCAAAGTCAAGGAAATATAGAGAATCCCCCCTTCCCACTACTTCTGTTTTCACTCCCCAAACCCTTTGAAACCGTTTGAAGGCAATCCACAATCTTCTTCTGCTGATTCAGAAATATGAGTAAGGAGCAGAAATCACTGCCCAGGGCTGCAGAAATTTTAAAAACTCCATAACCTCACTCCATACAAAAGAGGGGGGAAAAAACCCAAGATACAAGAAAGCTTAGTAATTTTGCAAACCAGTTTATCCCACCTTGAAGAGAAAAAAGGAACTGGCTAAACGCCTGTCAATTTTACCTGTTCGGTAAAAGCTATAAAAATATGATTAAATAAATAAATAAATAAATAAATAAGGTAACAGTCCCTTTACAGGGCCTGAACTCAGGAGCCAGGAAAAGTGGTGAGAGAAAAGTTCCTTCCAAAGGGTGTCTTTTGTTTAAAAGGCCCAATGAGCCTTTCAACAATTTAAATTTAATGCAGCTACGTACACTGATGACTGACACTACTAATACTGAAATGCAGAGCTCTGGATCTGCTTTCCATGTTTCTGCTTTATACAGAATTCTCATATAAAAGTATCTTTACTTTTAGCTTCCAAATCTACAAAGAGCTGAAGACTTCATCAATATCTATGGATTATTCTGCCTGATTAAGTAATCTATCTCTGGAGTACTCTATTCACTGAATGATAGACCAGAATAGTCAGGTCTAAAGGATCTTCATTTTTACAATGATGCAATTCACAAATCTAAGCCATAAACTGTCTATTTCAAGGAGGAACTAGAAATTGTAAACTTCCAAAAAACACATACAGGTACCCCAAATAGAAATAGACTAAATATAAAAGACACTGCATTTTAGAATTTGACAGTTTGCAAACCTGCAATTACTT